ATTTTTACGTTACGACATCAAAAACAGTACCTCTTTCATTTTGTTGTGTCTCAAGTCCAGAAGTTTTAAATTCTTAAGCTTCACCAGAGTATCTGTTATGAACAAAAATACCCTAATGTTTGACAATGATTCAGTTATTGAGAAAATCCACAATACTATGCTTTACATCTTTTCAAAAGCAGAATAGAAGAGGAAATGAAGGAAACATGTATCAGGTAGTGCATGATCCCAAATAAGCATTTCTTAATTGAATGTCTAAAAAATGGAGTGACAAATTGGCTCTGCTTCACTTTGCTTTGTGATTAGTACAGAAAACTCTCTCAACAAATTAAATGCAACTTGGTCAGTGGTATTTTCTTACGCTTCAGGCAGTGTGGTAGTTTATACTTTGAATTTTCATCAGCTCCTTTTCATATTAATTTTTGCTATGTTCTGAATGGCTACTGTAATTACTTTGGCTTTGGTTTAAGTTTATGATGTACATGCACATCATTGATCATTACCAGTGGTGGATCCAGGAAAGGGGCCCGAGGGGCCTGAGGGGCCCAGGCCTCTTATTATTTTGGAGGAAAAATTGCAGAAGAAAGAAAAGCCAGCAGGTGTACACACGCACAAAAACACTTCCCCCCCCCCATTGCTCATGGTCTGGATCCACTGCTGATCACATGAAATTCTGCTCCCTTAATTTCACACCCAAGATGTAAGCCCCTGTTTTAACACAACTCAATGTGCAAGTGATTGACCTCATAGACTTTCACAAAAGTTGCATAATGAAAGCCTTTTTCAAGGTGAGAAAACTGAAAGCACCTATCAAAAACTAAGTACCACAGCCAGATAAGGGACCAGTTACACATGCTACATCAAAAATGGAATCGGAAAAGACTTGCTGGAAATATAATTCTGAATCTCTTATAATCGTTAGACCTACCACTAACAGTAATTTGATGTACATGTATCATGTTGTAGTTTGCAAAGATTTCAGGCTAAAAAAGGACCTACTGTACAATACTCTTTTTATGACTATGGTTATGTACCCAGAAAAAAGGGAAAAAACATATTTTAAAATCACCTTGACATGAATTCTCTCATAAACATTAATAAATATTAATAAACATTAATAAATATTTGGCTAGAATTAAATCAATTTACCTGGTAAGTCAGTCAAGTTGTTTTCATTCAGTGCCAGTTTCTCTAAATGTTTTAACATCCCAACCTCAGGTGGAAGAGTTGCAATTTTATTTCCATACAAGTAGAGTTCCTTCAACTGGGTCAGCTGAAAAGAAAACAAAGGTAAAAAAAATTTATAAGTAGTTAGACCTCCACAAGACGCTTTCAGTCAGGCAGTTAGCAAGCGAGTCAGTCGGCATGTCGTTCAGTTTGTGAGTCAGTCCGTCAGTCAGTCAGTCGGTAAGTCAGTCAGTTGGTCAGTAGAGTAGACATCTATATTTATACAAGATAGTCCCTTCAGTGTAGTAAACACTGGTATCAACGGGGGTCCTGTTACTCACCCATCCCACCCCAGGGGAGGACATCCATCACACAGTAATCTAGTGCATGGGAAATTAATGTCTCCTGCCCCTATGTCAGTCAGTCTGTCGGTCAGTCAGTCGGTCAGTCTGTCAGTCAGTCTGTCGGTCAATCAGTCGGTCAGTCACAGTCACTCAGTCAGTTAGTTGGTAAGTCAGTCAGGTTTTAAGTTTGTTAGCCAAGCCAGTCAGTGAGTCAGCAGTAATTGGCCCGTCTATCAATCAATCAATCAGTCAAACACTCATACATGTACCTCTTTGAGCTCCTTAGGAATAGCTGTAACCTGGATAAAAAAAAAAACAAACAAAATAAACTTTTGCATAGGATTAAAAATTTGTTTTGCAAACTACTTATGAAACAATTTCTAGTGTAATAGAAAAAATCCAAGCCCCAGATGGGACTTGAACCCATGACCCTCTACTTATGGATCAAGGAAAGGAGAGACTCATCCAAAAACAAATAAGTCTTGCCAACAGTTTTACAATCTGGCTATCATGGCCACTTTTTTGGGTCAAACTTAATTTAAGGATCACTAAAACCATATTTATGTCATTTGTTTGTCATGGTCCAGGAGTAGGCAATATACTGTAAGTGAAAGTTTAAGGGTTACTTTTGAATTCAATTCTAAATCAGCAAAATCAAACTTGTCCAAGGTAAAAAAAGTTCTGACACCCTCTAGTACCAAGATATCATGGCTAACCCTTTCATAAGGGTTCAATGTTACATCAAGAAAATTTGACCTAAAATAAATGGTCATTTCCCTGTTTTCATTACCTGTCTAAATCACGTTGTATTTAAACTCAAAAGAAAATTAACAAACTGACAAGTTTTGGGAGTCAATTTATTACTTCATGTTTGAAAACCTGACTTTGATACCCTTCTACCATAACTTTTATTTTTGTGTCTTGTAATAACCAATTCTATTTCCCCTAGAAGTTTACAGCATTATCAAAAAAAAAAAGAAAAAATCATTTTAACTCTTTAACTTCCATGACTGACCAAGACAGAATTTCTCCTTCCAATATCAAAGCAGAAAAGTGATGAAGACAAATAAAAAATATCGCATCAGGGATTATCAGTCGATTCAATACCAAATTCTCCAAACTAATATCATAAGAATGTTATAGCAAACAGGAAGGAGAATTGTGAAAGAGTTCAAAAGGGAACTATCTTATAAATACTGTTTTTTTCCCAGTGGGATGAGGGTCCCTCACTGATGACAGAGAATATTTCCTTCTATAACAAATTAAATGGGAAGTCAATTTCTCTGTATGTTTTTGAGATTAGGAAATAAATCTTCTTGGTGATTAATTAACTTTTTTCAAGAATATTTGTTCATCTGTAGTTTGAATTCAATGTAGGAATGCTCTCATTGATTAAATCTTAATTAATAGGTTTTCCTCAAAGGGAAAAAAAATTCACATTCAGATGTAAATGTCAAGGCTAACTTTAAATTAAATTATAAAAATCTATGTTAATCATTGAAGCAAATGTGTATTGAATATTATTTTGGTGGTGTGATGACCAGATTGAAACACTCTTCATGATTAAATCACAGGTAATTTTCAAAACAACATGATATTTTTATACACAGCTCCAAGCACATCAACATGGACCAATAATATTAAAAAAAAAATACTAAAAAATTAAAAATCTTTGATTCAACTGGGTTAACTTTGAAATTGTCAATAGATATCCTTGAATGATGACTTTTAAAAAAATATGTTATTGGCAACGCTCAAGTTGACTTTATGATTTAAAACACTTCATTACACAATAAGGTTGCAAATTAAAAACTTCAGTGAAATTGTCATGCAAGGTGAGACTGTGTTCTTTTGTGATCAAGAGCTACACAGTGAATATTCAATTTTCAGCAACGCTTCAAATCACTTACTTTACACGTTTAAACGTCAAATAAACTTCTGCTTAGCTTAACAAAGCTTTCTTTCCTGATAAATATGTCGTACAGGCTGAAGTTCAGCTAAAATCAATGTGATGACAGTTTAGCTACCGAAGACAGGTGTTACCAGTTTTCCACTGTGTCGAATAATCAGCAGAAGTGAAAAACACAACCATGTTATGATCGTCTTCTTTTATAATTACGCCCTTGCACACATTCGCTGCTAGCTGATAGTCCTCAACAGTTTAATTTGTGAGAAGAAAAAAAATTATAGCCAACGAAATACGACCAGCTGCAATCAAATACCCTAGAGGCAAAAGTATAGATTTTTATCCCGGAAATCTAACAGCTCACTTGAAATCTGTTAGCTTGGTTTCTTGGAAGTTTCGTTACGTCGCCCACTAAGAGTACATCGCGAACGATCGAGTTGCTCTTGAGTCACACACTTGAGAAAAATTATTGATCTCGGACAAAACTGTTGATGTGGAAAATCGAGCAATATGCAGCCCACCTCCAAACTTTAGTCCCAGTTTTATTCTCAAGAATATTTGATGAAATAATTCTTACCGCTGCTTTGCTGAGATCTAAATGCGTGGATCCTTCCTCCCGGCATTTCATAATTGCTTTGTGCACATCCTTCCGAAAGAGTCAGAAAAAAAGCTACAAGTAAATATAGCTAATGACCAATACAAGCTCACTAACAAAAATTATATACATTCCCGTTCCCTCTGAAGAATGCAAAAGTTAGCGAACATAACAAATTGAGTTGTTCAAATCTTACCAAATCTGGTGTCGATTTTTTCTTTTTCGCTGCTGACTGAGCTTTCTTCGCTCCAGGAAGAGCGACCTTAACAACTCTTTCTTTCTTGGAGTCATCGTGTTTGCCACTTTTCGAATGCGATGTTCCTGACGATAAACTTGTTGCGCCCTCATCTAACATGCTCGTACTCACAGAATCACCGCTCTCGTTGGTATGATTCATGTTTGTTAGATCTGGAGAATCAGAGTCAGCTCTCGTTTTTGTTCCGCGCCGCATCACTCTGAGAAAATAATCGCTGTTCAACTCCAATCAGTCAAGCTTGTAAACCTCGGTTGCTGATAACTGCTCATCAAAAATTTTACATACAGAACACTTCACTGTCTGTTCGAATGAAGTATTCAAAACACGTTCTGTCGAGAAGACATCCTAGTACGTAAAATTGTGAAGGAAACTGGCAACGAGGTAGTCATCGTGTTAACCGGAAAGAAATTGACTCCGTATCAGTTCAAAACCAAATAAACACAAAGTTACTGGGAGAACTTTAGTTGGAAGACATGACACTTCTCACTGCTGCTCTTCCAGTGGACTGGAGCAGAATTCACGGGAAGGACCAAATACAGAGTAGTACGCCCGCGAAATATCAATAATGGACTTATTTTGGTCATAGTTAGTAGAGGGGACAAATGACTTTACATTTCAATGTAATCGCTTTAAAAATTTTGAAAATCTTTCGATAGGATTCAGATTCTATTATAGTTTTTTCAGTTGACCTAAATACTTTATAAGTGACTTCCCCTAGGAGAGAGGGGGAGAGAGAAAGAGAGAGAGCGAGAGTTCCTTTGGGTACCCCAGCTAGTGGAAGTTGGGTTTGCTGGAGCGGTTGAACGTTGACTGCAGGTGAGAATTATAATTATGTTCGCGCTTTTATTTTCTTTTCTGTTTTGAGTTGAGTTTTTCCTTAAAATACTCGTCTCTTTGTTTTACATTTAATTTGAATTACATTGTGTGTAGACCTTTCCCCTTGTGCCGGAGCAAATCAAATTGACTAGTTGGCGAATTGAAAAAACGGTCACAAGGTGAAGCATCCAAGGTTTTTGAATTCGAACTGCTCAAATTTGTCAAGTGCAATTTTATCATTTCTACTTTAGAACGAAAATGTCAGAGCAAGAGGGTCAATGTGAGAGTTTAAGCACTTGGATAAACAGCACTGACGCCAAGAGAGAGTTTTTCCTTAGCAGTGACGACTTGAACAGGCTGAAATACCAATGCCGTCGTCGTGCCAGAGGAAGGCCCACGAAATTGTGGAATCCTGAAGATTTGAAGAAAGCGGCAATAGAGAAGTACGGACAGGAAGAATTCCAAGCCAAGATTGACAAAAGAGCTCATCGAAAGCCGCATCATTGTGCAATTTTCAACAATAATGGTAAGGAATTTATTGAGAGTATAAAGCACACTGAGGGAAAGAATGGAAAGAGAGCACTCAGTGAGGATGGTGAGGATGGTAATGATAAAGTTGATGACGAGTCTTATGCTGGACTAGAAGAGCTTTGTGGTATTGTTAAGAAATGCAATAAGAACCAACTGGAACAGATTGTAACACTTATGGCACAAAAGAGTTCTTCATTTTTGGAACTTTTTGAGAAGGTAAAACTAGTTTCCTTATTACCGAGATCAAAATTCCAGATAGTTTATCCAGAGCTTGCAAAACTCCTTTCTACAGCAGATGAAGAGAATTACTCAGGTCATACAGAATGTACGGATGATGATGATGATGATGATGATGATGATGATGATGATGATGATGATGATGATGATGATGATGATGATGATGATGATGATAATGATGATGATGATGATAATGATGATAAAGAAGGTGGAGATGATGTATCAAATTTGGACTTAGAAGGGTCATGGACCCTGTGTATTGTTGCTCCTCCTTGTAGAAAAGGTGAAGAAGGGTCATTGGATGTAATTTTTTTTTGCTCAGGGTCCAGTGTTGATGGCAGTATTTGTTTTCCATCTTCAAGTTGTTTAGGGGATATTGTGGGATTTAAAACAACCTGCACAATGGAGGACACAAGGATTTGTTTTAAGACAAGAAGTGAATTGAAGCATGAATGGTACACCGGTGTATTAGAAACTTGCATTTCAAGAGATGAGAAAGGATTTCAAGTTTCAGGGTCTTTTTGGCCAGGTTTCAAAGAGCAAGATTTGCCAAATGCTATACAGTTTATTGGAAGAAAAGCTGAGGGCTGCTGCAATTAAAATCCAATAAGGAAACAAAATGGCATCCTGAAGACTCTAAAATTTAGGTCAATGAACATTTCTTTTCCATTGTATCTTGTTAAGGGGTGTAGCGATTTATCAAAGGTGAGCAGACATGGTATCAGGGTTCTTGTTAAAAGCTGGTCAGAAGCTCAGAAGTCAGAAAATGTGGGAGAAATTATTTTAAAATTGATTCCAACCAAAATATCTATCCAAAAAAGATACTAAAATGTGTCCCAGCACACTGGGGAGTATACCCCCAGACCTCTCTTGAATGGCATTTTGCTTTGCAATATTCCATACTTGCCATGCAAACATTCAGTTTAGCTGCCCTCTCGGTTTAGATCATTTTTTTAATGACAACATTCAGGATCGAGACTGTGGATCGATGTTATGATTGTCTATATTTACTGAAAGTAAGAGTTTGCTGCAAATATTGAGACAATTAAGTACATGAAATTAAGACTTACTGTCAAAAAACCAACAACAACAACGAAAGTAAACAAAGTGTAACATATTGTCTTTTAGAGGGCTCTCATAAAGAACACTGCTCTGTAGATAAAAGCAATATATTCCAGAAGCTTAAAAAAGTCAAAAAGGAAAAAGGCTAAGAGGAGGAAATCAGACATGAAAGAGAAATGTCTGTCAATCAGTTTTTTGGTCAGGAAATCAACAGTCAATTTTTTATTTGATCTAACTGAAGCAAATTTTTATATTTTTTTGTACAAGCAGAGAAAAACACACAAAATATGTTTGTTTAAGATGTGCCCTCAAGCATGCAAAAGAATAATGAAATTCCAAACTTTGTTACAAGCAACTTGTACAGGGTATTCGGTGTTTAGATCACAACCACACAGCTTGAGCAGTTTTTTCCAAACAGAATATTTCAAAATTAAGCAGAACTGTTTAGTTATTATTTTGTTAATTTCCAGGAGATGTTAGGGGGAAATGGTGAGATGACAACTAAATACTACCAGTCAGAGGGGATGGGATTTTAAAACTAGAACAAAACCTTTAAATCTTGATTCTTATTTGAGCTTTTACTCAGTATGATGAAGATGAAGAAAATTTGAAACTCATTTTTGTCAAGAAGATACATCAGAGAAGGATACTAAAGTATGTTTTTCTTTTTAACTATAATTTAAATCTGTTTGTCATCTTGTTTTCCTGGATTCATTGGAAAGTCTTTGGCAACTGACTGTGTCGTTAAAGGAGTGTTGTGAGTACATATGACTAAGTAGATCTGGCACTGTAGTCCTTTTGTAATACAGGCTTCTTCAGTGTTTAAATATGCCACTAGATACGGGGTTGTTATAGATGGAATGTCATTTTACAGTTAGATGAGTGGCTTATCGCTGTAATAAATTTGGAATCATATTTCATGTTATCTCGTGTTTCCTGTTATGATTGGTTTATTCTGTTTTGTGAATGCGGTAGTATCTGTTCCACGATAACCTTGCTCAAGTCGATCTTCACAGAAGATCAGAAATTAACTCTAATGGGGAAAATTATCATCAGGTCACCCCGTGGTGAGAAGGTAGGAAAAACAGGCTTATCCCTTACGTTAGACAGAGAACGACATTAGAATGAGAAGGGATTGGGACGACATAGCGTTTGTTTCGCAAACCAAGATAGCCGAATATCTCAAGCTGAGCAAATACGCTTCTCACCTTCCTAGATTGCGACCCAAGCAGTCTTAGGTATATCTTTTTATAGATCAGCTGGTGAAGTAGACCTGAAGGGAATAAGTAGAATACGGAAAGATCAACACATTTAATGGCAGAGAAAGTAAATTTAGAAGTCACGCGATCCTTATGGTTGGTCACATGACTTAACAAGTACTCATCCTCCAGGAGTTTCCACAAATGCCAAATACGGCAGCGAGAATTGCGCAAGTGTTGCTCCCACATGGCGGAAATACTGCATTGTGATTGGTTAAAGCCACGTGGGATCTGAACGGCAGAGGAAACCTTGGTGCTATTCGACGGAATGCATTGTTCGTGAAAAGGTTCTAGTCTTTTGATGGATATTTCAAGACGTTTTACTTTTTGATCTGTGAAACACTAGTCCAAAAATTTGAGCGAATATTTCAAGATGTGGATTTAGAATGCTAGCGATTCCAGAGGAGCCCAGTGAAATGAGGTAACCGTCGTTCTAAAGTCACCAGGGACGCGATAGTTCGTGTGGTCGCGAAGCGATTACGTGTTATAAGAATTTTTTACCACGGAAGTTCACTATTTGTTCGTTTATCGTATGGAGTCGATGTAGAGGGTTTGTTCAGTATTAGAGACGAGTTTCAATTCTACGTGTTTCCATTTTTAGACCTAGAGGACCACTTTTGCCAAAAAAGATGTGTGCTTCGTTGAAATAATTTTTGCAATTTACTTTCATATTTTTATTGACGCAGTTTCATTGATCGTTGAACGTTCGTGACCGATCGAATGTCTCTGGTAGCCCTTTGAACATTTTAAGCATTTATTGCCTCTTCGATTATTTAAAAGTAATCGGCCTCTAGGATTTAAACTGAGACTGAAGTTACCTAAGTAATCTCTGAGTACAGTACGGTTCGATTATAGTCATTGTTTAGCTAAAAATACGGTCGATCCTATTCCTTTCAGTTTTCGAAAGGAACTTCAAAGGAAGCAAGGACATTTTCTTTTTTGCAAGGGTGCCCCAATGTTTTCTTTTTTTGGATTGGTTTTTGTCTAGTCATAATTAATGCCTTTAAAAGTATATGTACGTATTGAGTTAGTGAAATACTGAAATTTAAAATCGACAACCCACTAAATTTAGCTTATTTTCTTTTCACTTTTTCTCTTGGCTTCAACGCGAGTAAGTGATAGTAACTTGACGTTTCCTTTTCATGGGATCATTTTTGATAAGAAAAGATTTTGATCTGTAAATCATGAAAAAATTTTATCGTTTTCCTCTTACAATAATAATTGCTTTTCAATAGGGTTTGTTTATTGTAATGTAGCAGTTTTCAAAGGGGGTCAATACTCCAAAAGTGAAGTAATTAAAACAGCCAATTAGAATGGATGTTAACATCATCATTAGCCAATGAAAATTCAAAGTAAGAACACGAATACCACTAGGGTGGGAAAGGGTGAGTTGCCAAGGCATGATTGGTTGAAGCTTTTCATCTGATTGGTTGCGAGGGAAACATAAGTTTTCTAAACCAATCATAGCCGATTAAAACAAATCAAAGCAATCCTAGATTAATTTTGATGCTCAACTGAAAACTGCTGTAATAGCATCTCTTGTTTTCTCTCACAGATTGTGGGGTGACCCTCCTTTCAGCAGGGACTCTATATTTGATGACTTTTCACCTTCCTTTTTGGAGTATGATGTTGCTGCTGAGGTTGAATGGTAACTCACTCATAACTGGTGGTTCTTGATTATTTATAGATGTTCTACACAAACAAGATTTAATTTAATCATTTTGAATGTTGCAATGGATTTTACTGACCCCCTAACCAAAAGGCAGTGGGGTCCTTTAAGAACAAGCCTGATAGATAGGTGTGACTGTGAACTTTAAACAAGCTGTGGTTTTATGTGGGGAAAAAAATTAAAAAATTATTATTACATGCTCATAGTAAAATGTTTCATAAAACTTTTTGTTTGATCAACTGATATTTTGGCCTGTACTATGGCCTGTGCACTTAAAGAATGGGTAATGTAGAATAGCCAGTTAGAGGCTTAAGAAAATGGTTGTTGAGGCACCTTTTTTTTTTGTTAGTGGCCAAGGATTTGACAGGGAGGATGAATCAATGAATTGCTGGTACAGTGAGTCAACTTCAGCTACGTCTTCAGTGGATTCCTCTGAATATAACTCAGATAATGAAATTATTGACATAGAGACAGAAGGTACAAAGATGGCTTCTTTTTCGGTAAGCAAGGATGATGTGGATATTTTGAGTTTTGATTCTGAAATAATCTTGTTTCCTGATAATGAATTGGTCTGATCCAGTCACATTTGACTCTTGTCTCTGAAGGGAAAAACACTGAAATTCAAGATTTAATGGAATGAATGTACCCTTGTAATGACAGAGAATTTTTTACATGGACCCAGCCATCTCTCAACCTTGTGGAAGATGCAATTGCAATTTCTTGAAGTTAGCATGTTGAACCTAAATGAGGTTCAACCCCTAATGCAGATCATGGTGTTATGTTCTCTGCTACCAGCATGTCCTCAGGGAATACTTGATCAAGTGTACAACAACAACAACCTTTATTTATTCTAATTTCTAATGACTAAGGACTACTTTAACAAATTGGACATGTCTTAACTAAGAAAAAAAGTTGGTATACAAGTTTACAGAAATCAGGAATTAGAGAGAATAAGTATACAGGTTTACAGAAAGCAGGAAGTTAAATAAAAAGAGTAGGTATAAAAACAAAGATACTACAAAATACAAAAATAGTACAATTACTTGGCTATACTTGTTATTCTGGAAATATGTTAAAAACCTTAAGAAAATTTAACCTTTTGAATGATGTTTCGTATGTACAGTACCTTGGTGTAACCCAAGTGGACTCTCACCCTGTCCCAGAATGCTGCTGTGTACTCAGCCTGTCCCAGATTGCTGCTGTGTACTCAGCCTGTCCCAGAATGCTGCTGTGTACTCAGCCTGTCCCAGAATGCTGCTGTGTACTCAGCCTGTCCCAGAATGCTGCTGTGTACTCAGCCTGTCCCAGAATGCTGCTGTGTACTCAGCCTGTCCCAGATTGCTGTTGTGTACTCATATGTAAATGTACTGTGTTAAAGAGTGAGATTTTAATTTAATGTTTTTTGCTATTAACTCTGCACAGCTATATTTCAGAAGAAATCCTTAGACCCTCTCTTTTTCCCTAGTTGCTTATCTAAGATAGACATCAATGTTTTTTTTTCTTTTTTTTTTTTTTTCATTGTTGTTTTATAGGCTGTTACCTTTTAGGAATTTTTGTATCCATTTTAGTAACCATTATCAAACTTGTATTATCTTTTCTTTGTAGGGTTCGTATTTAGATATCAGTGAATTAGAGAGGAAATGCAGAGGTTAGTATTCCACTTCCTTTATATTGTATCTAATAATTATACGGTGTTAATTGAAGATCAAAGATTGGAGAAGAGATCTCCATTAATACAACAGTGCACAGTAAATCAAGACTAAATTGTCTTTAAACGTAAACAAGCTCAAATGAAATAAAAGAGTTAAAAATATTCCCAAAATTAAAAAAGTGATAGATTTGGTCAACTTCATGTTGAAAATTGCAGAGGTTTTTTTTTTTCTTTATGCATTTGTTTACTGACATCACAAGCTTGAATATGAAACATGCTCATGCAAGTGGATTTGTTCACACAAATTTACTGCAGCTATTTTATAATTAAAGTTATCCTAATTTTAATTACCACCCTTTAATTTCTTTCCCAGAATTAAAAGCTCTAGAAAGCAGCTCCCACAGTTGGAGTAGACATTGTAGCAGAAAAAGGAATCAACAGAAAAATGAGAGCGCTAAAAGCTCCACATTAGTGGATGATTTATTAAACAAAAGTAAAAAGGAAGTGAAAAAGAATTCCAGTTCATCTTCAAGTAAATCTCTGTGTCCATGCCAAAAGTTAACAGATTCTATGGAGTTTGGTTTGAGTTGGTAAGTGAGTGTGGGAAATAACAGTAATCCTTGAGCTTCTATGAATAATTAACATGTATCTTTTCCCTATATTATCCATACATTATCCAGAAAACAGGTAATAAGACTACTCAAACTTATCAGGTAGAAGTTTCCATCTTCAAATTCCAAATTCTTGTAATCTATCAACAAGGAAATGTGTAGCAGCCAGAGTACGTTGAGAATCAACAATCAGTTTCTATTTGAAATTTAGTCCTGATCTTAGTGCTTTAAAAAAAGAAACAAAAAGTAAAAAACAGAGATTGAGACAGAATGAATTGCTTGGTGGATTGTGCACCTGGAATTTTCCACTTCACCTTAAAAAATGGGTTGGCCTAAATAAAGGAAAGTGATGGAGAAAATTGACTCAAAAATGAGACAAAGCCTTTGGTTGATTGATAATGATGGCATTTTTCATGGTCAGTGGATTTGAATTCTTAACTAGGTTGTATCCTCCAAAGTTCCAGTGGCTGTGTTCAACAGTGCACAGTTCCACAACAGACGTGGAGGTAAAACAATGGATGTTAAATCCCAAGCATGCTTTGATTCTGTAAACATGCTTGCTATGAGCTTTGTCTAACATGAACAACATTAGAAGTGTGTTTCACACCAAAATTATTTTGAGGTTATCCTTGTTCTAAACCATGCAAACAGGTTAGTGCCGTATTCATTTCAATTGGCATCCTGGGTTAAAACTGTCTTCTGTTATAATTATGTTTCCTACTATATATTCAAAAAGGAAAACAAAATTCCTGTAATGTGTTTGTACAAAGTAATAATTATTTGAGACAGAAGTTTTTGATAGGCACTCTTCTTCTTATCTAGTAAATGCATGTGTCACTCTCAAATCAGCATTAAATTGGCTAGTCCATGCATTTAATAAGTGCTATTATATTCCTTTCTGTAAGATTGTTCTGGTAAAAATGATTAACCCTTTCATTGCAAAGAAATATCAAAAGTAATTCCACATTGTTTTGCCATACTTTTGATATCTTGTTAGCTCTTAAAATTAGTTGTCTAGTCAACTACCTTCCCTTTGTTGACATTTTTGATATTGTATTGGTATTGTAAGAGTAAAATACTGCATGCTCTTTCCTGGGAGTGTTAGGGGAGATTGGAAGGGAAATATGTTATTACTGTAAGTCTGGAGACTCCTGTGCACGTGCCAACCAGTAAAACAATAATGTTTTTGCCTAATCCTAGTTTATGAGCATGATAGAAAAAGAGCAGCTCATGAAGATGGTGACATTTAAAATTATATTTTGTTCACATGTTCTTATTTGTTTTAGGAACAAAATGTCATCAGAAGATCAAGTTGAGGCAGTTGAATTGCTGACAAGAGTTGCTTCCATGACAATGGGACTACGAGAACAAATGGATATCATTAAGATTATAAATCCAGAAGCAACTGTTCTTCCCACAGACACAGAATTTGAAATAGGTAACTGTGACATTTTCATGATGTGTCTTCATGTCACATTTTATTTAATTTTTTTATCATGAAACTGCCATCATATTAGCAAACTTTAAGGTTTTTCAAACTACACAGACAGGTGAAATGTAAAAGTTGATAAAATGATTGTCAAGGAAAGTAAGGATGTTATGACTCAAGAAAAAAAATAACACACACATTGAATGTGCTGATTATTAACCTTTTTCAGATCTTGAGTCTTTCAATGAAGCTAAATTTGAAAGAATACACAGATATATTAAGGAGCATCTCTCCAGAGATTCTTGTCTTCTGTGTTCAGGTAACATTTTGGTACATTAATTCTTAATTGTTTGGTTAGTGTTGAGAGAAAACTTGTCTTGGCCTCCTACTGGAGCAATTTATAATCTAGTGTTGAAAATATAGCAGCATTACCAAGATTTTTACTCAACCCCTTTCTGTGCTTGGTACAGAAAACTTGCTGCACATTTTCAACCTGCCAGATTCAAAACTTAAACCAGTTGCAACTTGGTCACACAAGTTTCATTTTGGTTGGAAGACAGTGCTTCAGGTTCTAAATTTAACTAGTTTTGATTGAGTACCTGATCATTTTGGGAAATACAGTGAGGCACAACTAATGGGGGGGGGGGGGGGTCATATTTGAACAGCCTTTTCAGGCAGGTGTCTTCTCCCCCTTCTCCCCCCCTAGCCCCAGCATTCACTCTGATTCTGAATCAAACATGGTATTCTGATAAACAATCATATGAACTTGCCCTAATAAGACGCCTGCAGTGGAGGCTAATTGCCACACATTTACTGATGGTCAGAGGAGACTGAAATTTTTTCCCAATTCTTTTAGCAAATTTAAAACAATGTTGTGAAATGACTTTGGCTTCTTTTTTTTTTCCCAGATTCTACCTCGGAAACATGCAGACAAAATTCAAATTTCACCTATAGGAAGCATTCAAAGGTAAAGATTTGCACATGATGTTGAAAAAAAGATTTATGCTTCTGTCATGAAGGTGAAATTGAGAAAGAGAGTAAAAGTGGCATTCATAACAGTTTGAAGGATGGTCTAAAATGAACCTTCTGTAGTCTGTGATCTAGTTTTTCCTCTAAGTTCTCTGTATTCGAGATATTTGAACCTTGCTAATGAAATGGGAAGGTTCAGGTGTGAGTATTTATTGAGGCAGGGCACTGAATTTTTGAGTGTTTTTACATCTTTTGTTTTTACTTAACAGCTAAGTTTTAAGAATGGAAAGTTAACTAGTGGGATGAAAATGGGATATCTTTTTTTTTTCAGAGAAAACCTAGAGGAACTCTTAATATGAAAAGAATTTCAAGAAAATCCACCAAACATAAAGGCTTGTTGAAACGAGTTCACAGACAAATGTTGAAAGAACAGAAAAGTGGTCTCTTCGAGAATGAGGAGGTAATTTTGCAGTCTGAAGACATTTGTAGTTTCATTCTTAGGGGTTCCCCTCTGAATGTAGGTAAGCCTTATAGACAATCACAAAGTTTGCTTAAGAAACCCTATTTAGTTTTACCTTTGTCATCAAAAAATTACCTGTTTTATCATTATTAATGCATATTAAAATAATCATCTGTCTGCACCCAAGGTATAAACCAAGTTGTTAAAAAAATCTCTAAATGTAATAAAACTTTTACTGTGGACACTGCTATGTAAAATCTTGCCCAGTGAAATCACTTACCGGTATGTTAAATTAATTTTATTACTCAATACTTACCAAGGTGCACTTTCTCAATTGTTTTTTGTTGTTGTTTTTTTTATCTTTGCAGGTAATTTCACTTAGCTCAAGGAATAAAGATGAAGCTAATGATGTTGAAGTTGACATCCTTTGCTAATATTTGTTTTTGAAATAGCAATAAACTTGAGTAACAAATTTAGCCAGTCTCTTTTGTAGTCTCTTCATTAAGCTTACTTACCTTGCCCCCCCCCCAATCTGTCACCCTAACGTGAGGTCACCATGCCTCTTTGCTCAGTCTTAGATTAACAGAAGTGTTTGATTACTTTCCATAATGCTTCTAAAACTTCAATGAAAACCAAAACTTCATTTGTCTCCCTCACTTTGCCTCCTAGCTCAGTCTTAGATTAACAGAAGTGTTTGATTACTTTCCATAATGCTTCTAAAACTTCAATGAAAACCAAAACTTCATTTGTCTCCCTCACTTTGCCTCCTAGCTCAGTCTTAGATTAACAGAAGTGTTTGATTACTTTCCATAATGCTTCTAAAACTTCAATGAAAACCAAAACTTCATTTGTCTCCCTCACTTTGCCTCTTAGCTCAGTCTTAGATTAACAGAAGTGTTTGACTACTTTCCATAATGCTTCTAACACTTCAATGAAAACCAAAACTTCATTTGTCTCCCTCACTTAGTTTGGGTGACCTGCCTTCCCTGCTTGCCTTGCAACACAAGGACAGACATGACTTCTAATAAATTTTCAATAAGAAAATTGTGTATTTCATAGGGTTTCCTGAACAAACTATCCTTAACTCACAGAAGTTCCAAAGTAATCAAATTGATATTGGTTTTGCCAGATCTTGTAAACTGAGAAATATTTCTGACCACTAGGATCTACCAATGTGCTGGTTAGTTTTGACAAGCTTTAATATTTTTATTTGAAAACTAGGGCAAAGAACAAAAGCGCAGGAACTTAACATGGATATTTTTCAACCATTACAGGTTGCTTACAACTAAACTTATTTCACATGAAAATAAATCTATTACAAAAAAAAATGAAAAAGCTTTTTCTCAGTGATCATTGTCTTCAGACATTCCATTCATGACGGCAATACTTGGCCTCTACTCCTGGCTCCGCAGGGATACCACGCCTACAATAAATTAATCAAACAGAAGTACTGAAAGGTTAAGAGAAAAACTATGACCACTTAATTAACCACTCGATCAGACTGAGAGAAAATAATGGGATTGTACCATTATTTTCTCCTAATCAGACCTATTTTGACTTTCTTCTAATTGATCATTTCACTGCAAAATGATTAGCAATTATTGCCTAAAGCTTCACTGTAGACATTACTAGTTTTGAAAATTTTCCGGACAGTTTCTCAAAGAATTTCCCTTTAAAGAACTCTCAGTGGTGTCACATGAAAGGTAACTTCTGTACTAATCAGATCCAATCTCCACTGTGATCCATCAGCAGATACATAAATCCCATGTCCAAACCTGTGCACGGATTTTGTGCTGCAGGAGAGTATTGTCCACAGAAATAGAGAGAGCATGTTAAAATCTGCTGTAATATCAGTAAACAGTTCTTTTAATTTTTTGCAACACAGTCTTTCTTAAGTATTAGAACATACAATGATGTCAGCTGCACTAATCTATAGTTGGGTGCCACTTCCTTACCTGAGATAACGGCAGCGATGTTCCCAAAGCCTATTATCAGCATCAGTCAGGTCTGTCACTAATTTGCTGCTCCAAAGTCTCTCAGCAATAGCAAGTGCACGGGGCCTGAAATGGTGTGGGGATAGAGTATCAGATAATTAATGCACACTTCCTGTTCAGGAAACTTGAAGCTTGAATATTATGTAAAGTGAAATCAAATTTGTTTTGTTTTTGTTTTTTATCTTGTTTTGGTTTGGTTTTTGGCAAGTGCAAATATATACTTTTGATGTTTTTCCTGCTCTCACAAACATTTTTTCATTTTGGGGTTTTTAGCTCTTGCACCCCCTTCCCCCCCCA